TAGTACTATTTCCTCTTCCCTCTCCCTGCTTAAAAAGGGTTAAATGCCTTGCAGAGGTGAGCTACCAGCGTACTGTATGACAGTGTGAGTTGTATCTTTCCCAATACAGTAAGTACTGTGAATTTCTACTGGCTTGAAAAATATGCTTTGTTATTAATAAAAATAAAGGTAAGTCAGAGGTCTCTGATCAGATTCTGTTTGACTGCAAGTACTGGGTACTCAGTTCCTGAATCTATAAAAGACAATGCAAGTAAAAGTATTTAAATGTTTTTAAAAAAATATTTTGCTTATCTCCTTAGAAAAAAGCAAAGCAAAGAAACAAACTTGCATAGAAAATACCACGGAATAATTTGTCTGGCCTCTGGACACTTAGAGGATGATTGATAGTTGGGATTATGAAACCTTGTTGGAGTCATCTGGACAGTTTGGCTAGACTTCAGGTTCTTATTTTCCAAGTGTGCTTTCTGTCTAGGTGATCTGTCATCTGCTTGTTTCCTGAAACTGTTCTGTATAGCTTTTGATGGTCTTAGAAGAAGTAAGTGGAAGGAGGGAAGAAAAGACATGCTAATGCAGTAGCCCTGGAGTTCTTTCTGCCAACATCAGATTCTGGCAACTGGATTTCATTTTGAATGTTTGGATCCTGTAGGATTAGGTTAGGAAATACTGATGTAATTTGAGGAGATTACCCATTTACCTTCTGATTCAAGAGTTGAGCCCTCTGTATTTGGCTTTTTCCCTCCTCCTTTTGCCAGTGAAATTTTTTTTTTTTTCCCTGCTGTCACACAGTTGATCTTAGAAGGACATGGCAGAAAGGAAACATGTGGTCTTTGTTAGACCACAGAATAATATTGTGTAAGTGGAATACCTCAGGGAGAATATGTAACTTATTTTCTGTTGTTTAATGCATAAATGGTGTTCTTTGTACAAAGCCACATAGATGAATAATTTGGAATGTATTGTGCTGTTATACTTCTGTTAGAGCACAGTTCATTTAAAAAGAATGGTTTTGGTATCATAAACAAAGTGTATGTTGAGGCTTCAAATATTTGAGGTTTAATACGACTCTCGCGTCAAAAAGCTCCTGTGTGTTCTCTAGAGAGAAAAGGAACTGCCATTGAATATGTAAACCAATGTGACTGAATGGTTAAGTGCGAGAAGTTTCTTGCAGGAGGTTGATCTTATGCAGGATAAATGTTTTAACCAGATTGAACAAAAAAGTTTGTGCTTTTTACAATGAAAATCGTATTATTAGGGCAAGATAAACTTCTAAACTGCAATTAAATAAAAACAGCATTTCTTCAGATAATCAATGTGTTTTCACGTATTAAAACTGTGCTGATAGGGTGATAATGAAGAAAATTTGATTAATCTAAGAAATTGCAGAAGTTCTTTTAAAGCTTATCACTAAAAGAATAGAGTAGGCCCTAGCAAAATTGGAGGTCCTCTGCTGTTGAGATTAAGGTAAGGTAGATGAGCTACTTTGGCGAATAAAGAGCTGATTATTGAACCTTTGGACCAGCAGATTTTATATAGTGCCTTTTAAGTAAGTGACCCTGAAATTAACTGGACAAACCAGTGTGGTCTCTCTAATTTTCAAATTCATGTACTGCTTGAAGAAAGACTTTCTTAAACAGTAGATTGTGTATAGTCTCCTTGGACTGTAGGAAGACTGCTTCTCTAGCACCCTTCTTTAAACTCCTCCTGGCCAGTTACTGAAATGAAATGCACCTATGAAAACAGTTTGCTAGAAGGCCATGGGTGAAAGATTGTCAGAGTTATGAAAGAATAATGACTTGAAATAGATGGGTACTTGCAGAAATTTGAAGGCATCATATTATGGTAGTATTTTACAACTCATTTATAAGATCAAGCTTCAGAGGATAAGCAGTCGGTTCCCAGTGATTACATTATTTTCTGTTCTGAACTTTCCAATCTTTGTAGTATAATCCAATAAAAATACTGGGAATATTTTACTGTGTCATGACAATGCTTCTGATTCTGACATGACAGTTAATATTTTCCTTCATCCTAAATCTGACATCACTGTGGTGTTCGTCATTGGATGGCCTATAAGGTCACAGTTCTGCTAAGTTAACATAGTGTAACAGATTTATTCTGGGTCCTCCCCCCACCCCCTTTACAGGAATTTGTTGCGAAGACCTACTTATAAATAATGAGCTATGTTTGTTTGAATTAACTTGTCTGTGTAGGTATTGTGAGCTGGTGACTGCCTCTGTTCTTGTGTACTTCAGTTTAGGCAGAGGAAAAGCATTGGAGCGTTTTGTGCACGTGTGTGTGTGGTGAAGACCTGAAATCTTAGGGTGGTAAAAAGTAACAAGTTAGTGTTACAATCATGCTCTGCTTCCTTTTAGATGAAACAATTTCTGTTTAATGCTGTTTGGCAAAATAAATTTGAGTTCCTCAAGTCTCTGATTTTTTTGTTCAGTGTAGATTAGTTGCGTACAGCTCTTGAGTGAATTCTGGCTAAGTCTTAAAGATGTATTTCAGTAGCTTGCAGTAGGGTAAGATGTTTGTCTTGGCTCTGTCCCTCTCCCTTTTTTCTTACAAGAGTGGCGAGGTATTTGCTTGGTCAGAGACGATGGCATTAACTGGGCCATGCATTAGCAATTAATTTTCTATCTATACAGAGGTCTAAAAATATATACATAGCTCTTCTTTTTCTGCATTACTTTTAAAAAAGAAAAGGCCTAAAATTTTGCTTGATTCTCAGATTTGGTAACAACATCTCTTCTTTCTGTGTTGACAGTGAAGGTCACTTGAATATGGCATGATTGGGTAACCTCAGTTGTTTTATGTAAGTTTGCAGATGTCATAGCCCCTGAGGAAGCTGTCTAAGGTAGGTTCTTCACTTCCATCAGTTTCCTGGGCATTTTTGCCTACATTAACTTCCAGTTGTTGCTCTACATGGTCAGAAGCGTTTAAAGAAAATTCGATTAAGAAAAACCACACCACCACCAAAAGCAATTTTAAGTGTGAGAAAAGTCTGGCTAAGTGAGGATCTTGATCCCAGGCAGTGGTGTCCAGTATGTCGTTCAGACCTATTTTGAAACACACTAAAACTGTTTTTCAGAATTACCTAAGTACAAGCATAAAATAAAATCTCTATTATGCTAATGATTTATTGGCATGGGTGAAACTGTACAGTTGGTACTGGAACAGCCCTTAACTTGTGATAGCCGATTTACCTGGACTAAAAAAGTTGATGGTTTTGTTTCAGTTATTGGGTAGGAATTGATGTAAATTTGTTACTACTTCAGAAGAAGAGAACTAAGTAGTAAGCTGATGTTTCGTGTAAGTTGTAGATGAGGCCATTCAAGGTTCTGCCCTGTGAGCAGAGTAAACTGTATGGTGGCAGAATGAGCGCTCACTCAAACTGTAAGAGGGGCTTGGGGTTTCTTTTATGCCTACTATTAAAAATATTCTACACCTGCTATTGGTTTAGTGGGGTTTTCTTGCTGCTTATTCTTGAAAATGTTATGTTATTTCCTTAATTTTATGTATGGCTAGTGATATAGGTTGACGTTTGTGGCATTTGATAAGAAAATGCTTCATGTTTAAGTGAGGAAAGCAAGATACCCCAACAGCTAGTTGGCTTGATTGCTTTCCAGTTCATTGGTGGATCGTGGCAGGACCAAAACACAACTTCTGTTTAGAGGGAGAATGAACTGTGGAATGTTTAGGCACTTAAGAGCATGCCAAGATGTTTGATGTTAATTGCCAGACTTCAGTAGTGAAATAAAATTTAAGAAGTTAGATGAAGGCTACATGCCAGTTCATACCTTAGAGATGCCCTGTAGATAGCACTTCTTCATCGTGAAAATACAAACTTTATCAATAAAAGGACCAAATTCTGATTGAAGTCCACAGTGCTTTTCTGAAGTCTTTTTATAAGTACCCCATTTTTCACTGGAGGCTTGTTTAGTTTTTTGTTGGCAATCTAGTGTTTGGCAAAGATGAGTGTGCTAAAAAATGTTGATCTCAAAACCGTTGGGCTTTTGTAGACTTCAACTAAGATACTATGCTTTGACAGGTGGGAGGAGTGTATTTATTAGGCACTGCATATGCTTCATTGCGGAGTGGTCTATATTCTTGCAGTGTCGACATCTTGGAAGGAGTTTGCAATTATTCATTTTGCAAATATTGAAGATGTGGGCATTTTCCTCCAATTACGTGGTCACTCATGGAAAGCCTTGTCTTTAGGCTGTCAAAATGCATTAGTTCACTAGTCTGCGAATGGAGACGGCCGAGGTACTGTGTACATCTTCTCTCCTGTACTTGGTTGGGTGTTCTGCCCTACGCGGTGAGAGGAGTGGGAGACTAGTAATAGCTGGCACACGGGTGGGATTGTTGTTGACTTGTGTGAGTCAAGCGGGTTGTAGTTTTGCTCTACAATTAACAGCTACTACTGCAACACAAACAATGCTCTCTGAGAAATAGTTGAAAAATTCTGTAACCGGGTTTCTATTGAAAATTACAGCAACTGGGCTCTGACAGTATAGAGCAATAAGCATACGTACTTGACATTCAGTAAGTTTGCCGTAAAGTGAATATTTGTCAGCTCACTGAACGTGATAAATGATTTTTGTTTTTCATCGCTAATTCAAACGAGAATATTTTTGTCAGTTTGTAATATTTTTAAGTTCAGGCCTCTAAGATCATCTCGCTCTTAAAAGAAGTGTATTTGAAGTTAGCAGCTTTTAAGGATGATTAGGTGTTCTCTTTTCCTTTTGCTTGTGTAAAATAAAACATTGTGACAGATGAAAGTGATTTTCCCCCCCTCCCTCACCCCCAATACAGGATGTAAAATTGCCTGATTTTAAAATGATCTGACTCAGTCTTCTGCTTTTTGTTTGTTTGTTTAACAGGGTTTGTGGATGCACTTAGATGTTTGCAATGAGCACTGTGGCTGGCATGCCCCAGTGTTTTGGATACCAATGCATAGGACTCCGTAGTAATCGAATTTATCAGAAACGAACGTCATGAGCATAGTGATCCCATTGGGGGTTGACACAACAGATACTTATTTGGAAATGGCTGCAGGCTCAGAGTAAGTATGTGACCATAATTTGTAAGTTTTCTTACCTTTTATTATTTTTATTTTTTCCCTAGTGAGTATTTTTGAATACAGTTGGAGAGGACTTGGGAGTCTCCTTAGTTTTATTGAATCTTTAGTTACGTAAATTTAATAACTCCCATTCTTAGTACAGTTTCTTCCTCTTCAGGGAGAGCAAAGGAGAGGAGCTAAACTGTTCTACAGAATCATATTTTTCTTGCTTATCAGACTGAGAAATACAGATGTTGCCTGGTTTGCTTTTCATACTTAAAATACTTTACTGTTTCAGTTTCCTTTTAACTACATGTAAAATATTTTTGATTTCCCATGTTAGAAAGGTAAATTCATTTGGTGTGGTAAATTACAAGAAAGTGGTAGTAATTAGACAAGGGTGCCTTTAGTTTTGGAAGTTGAAGGCCTATCTTAGTAGTCTCACACCATGTCTTCACAAAGTTATTTTATAGTGAAAAGCTATTAGAAATTCACTTACCAATCAATCATTTCAGTTAGTAACTGTGGATAAATTTGTATGAAGTATTACTAAGAGCCAATGAAATCCTGAATTCAGGAAACTGTTCCTTTGCATGAAATAAGCCTAGTGAATGTCTGGGGTTTATGAGGTTTTATTTGTTTTGGTCCTTTTTTCGGGGTGGGAGTGTTCTGGGTTTTTCTGTTTGTTTTGGGGAGGGGGACAAGAATTTTTTGTGGGGGTTTCTTTTTGGTGGTGTAGGTTTTTTGTGTGGGGTTTTGTTGTTTGTTTTTTTTCCCCCTCCCCTCTACTGGTGTCTGAAACTGAGTTGGCTAGAGTTTAGGTATTGTTGATCTCCAACTGGAGATTTTTCCTGTCAAACGATCATCTTTCTATGTGTGTAGTATCAACCTGTCTGTCTAATGTTGTGAGAGGAGAAACAGCATTTTGGAAAACTTAGTTCTTTGAGAGGTAGAAGATGAAGGTGGTGTTACAACTTCTACCAGTATGCATAGGTACATCATCCTATTGAGCTCTATATATTTCAGAAAAGTAGCTGGATTTTTTTTCTCTCTCTCTGTTGCTGTTGCATTAGTAGAATATATGACAGGTGAGTTTTTTGGGAAGAGATGGGTGTCAAAAGATGGTGAAGGTGATGTTAGATCAAGAGAGTTTGTGTAAGCTACAGTGAATCATGTATACTTTGCATATACATGGGGAGGGGGAAAAACCCAGTTTATTTCTTAGATCTAACAAGAAACGTAAATTTCATTGTTTATATTAATAATTTGCTTGTTGGTTGGGTTTTTTTAACCACTTGAGATGCTGTTACTCTTTGCCTTCCTCTGAGCCTTTCTGTAATAACACTAAATGACTTTCCCTATCTTTCATTGCCACAAAAATACATTTGCTTGTTAGATATTGAAACAATGGATTAGACTTACTTTGCATACATGCTTGAAATCTTTCATAAACCAAAAATAAACTTCATAAAGTGGTCCTTGATTTGAAAGCCTTACACAGTCTTTGCTTGAGGGAGTGTGTGCGAAGTAATACTATTTCGTTTAAGAAGCAAATGGCTTTCATTCCAAGATTTGAAAGAAGTGTTATGCACTGTGAGCAAAACTCTTGAACAGCTTTTTAATGGGATGTTTCTCTCCTGTGCTTTCAGTTACAGATGAGGCTATTCTAAACTCACGCCATTTATCTGAAGAAAACCCCAGAATTTGCAGTTTTAAGCTTTTTGTCACATGAGATTTTTAAAGTAGTTTTGTTGATCTCTGGTATCGTGAACACTGGTTTCTTTGCTGCAGGAAATTTTTTAACTTCAGTGACCTGTTCATAACTCTTAATTATATTTTCCTGTGGTTTTCTTTTGTGTTTAGACAAGGTCATGATTCCCGAGGTTGCTGACACTCCTTGCAGACACAGCATGCCATGCTGAAATTAAAATAAATAAATATAGTTGTCAGTATAAACAAGAGAGAGTTCACAGTGAGTTATCTGCTTGATACTGTGGCATGGCGACCCAGTTAGGAACTGCTGTTCTTCATATGTGAAGTGACTCTTACCAGTTAGGTTAATTCATGTCATCCCTGCTGTACTTATACTGAAAAATGTGTAGTTACGTGATGAACTTATGCTGATTTAAAAACCATGTCTAAAGAAGTGTGACACAAAGGTGTGTCCTGAACCTGCCAGCGTACAGTTGTAAACCTTTTTTGTCGCCATCTATGGGATCTACATGTTTTTTGTACTTTTTCTTCCAGAGTGTAGCATGTTGGATAGAGATTGTATTGATAGTGATCATCTATTGTCTCTGAGCAAGTTCTGCGGTTTTCCCGAGAGGGAGGAGTTGGAATTTTGTCACTGTGACTGGCAGGTCTGCTATTGCTTCATCAGTTGTTGAAACATGAGCAAACACTGGAATGAGGGAATGGCAAACTCGATTATGTGGGAGAAGGAGCACAAGAAAGATCTTGGTTTAGTGCAGTCTATTCGTGCCGAGAGAGCTTTTCTTATGCTTCAAACTAAGAGATAAGCCTGTTAAAAAGGTGGATAGTTTATGTGATTACATAGTTTCACATATTATTTTAATAATTGTAGCAAATAGCTATGTGGAAAATAATTCTTATTATAAGGTGTGAACATCTTAAAAATTGATTGAAATAGGTACAAGTAACACAACAGACTAAGTGAGCTCTGCAGTGGTGGATTGATCTTCGTAATGCCATAGTAGTCAGAACACATACAGATTTTGCCTTTATTTGTAAAAGGCTTACGAAAGATGAATGTGTGACTTCTTACTGTTAAAGACCTTACAGCATCAGAGAATCATTCAGGTTGGAAAAGACCTCTTAAGATCATCAAGTCCAACCGTTGACCCAACACCACCATGCCTACTAAACTGTGTCCTAAAGTGCCACGTCTGCACATTTTTTGAACACCTCCAGGGATGGTGACTCCACCACCTCCCTGGGCA